CCTGAGGAGTCTCATGAAGTGGGTCTTTTGAGCGAACCTCGGTGTCACATATCTCATATTCAGATACAAAGTAGCAAATAAGCAAAGGAAGAAGAAATTTTTATGTTTTTAAGGTGCAACAGGGGAGTAAATAACATGTAGTTTCACTGTGTCTACTTTAGTGTTTGGATCAGCTGCTGCCACAGCGGGAGCACAACGCTCAGGGCAGCTGTGTCCCAGAGCAGGTAACAAGATGAAAGGGTACATGGGGGAGCAACCATACAGGAACTTCCATTTTTAAAACCATAACTGAGAGGGAGGAGTCTTGACAGATACTTGGTTCTAATTGACTCCATTTTGGTCCAGACACTGGCCAACTGTAGTACTCAATTTTCTTCTTATTCTGGTTCTGACAGCCACAGACTCCCTCTGTAAATGCCAAACAGGAACTGTGATGTAACTAATAAAGTCTGAGTCTTCATTCTTTCCATGCTGTTTATATAGAGGACTTTTGAAAAAATTCAATTTAAAATAAAGCTCCATGGATTGATCTTGGCAGTTAATCACAGGATGTGAGCAAGAAGGAAGCTTCTACTTCACATTTCTTTAGTTGCTGACTCCTATTTCCTAACAACTGTTCTTCTACCACTGCCAGTGTTATGAAGCAGATCTCTCTGAAGAAAATGTCTCTGACAAATCTGGGGGGAAATGGGCTTCTTTTCCTCACTATGATATTGAGAGACTCACTGTACATAAGAGAAAATCTGAAGTCTCTCCAAACTTATAAGGAGCTCTGCAAAACAATTTACAATGATATTAACCCATGAAATTCTTTCTGGCAGCAGTTTCTATGAAGGACTCTGAACAAAGAGAAAGGAAACATAAGGAATTTGGGGCAAGTTTTACGCAGTCACATTGGAGTTTAGACTTGCAGATTTTTGTGCTTTTCCAAATAGAGTTTGATGGCATCACTAATGTGTAGCATAACAGGAGACAGAGACCAGCTGTGCTTTGAGAGTTAATCTCATAAACTGCTTCCAGAGAAGGTCACATTCAGAACCCTGAGGGCTTCCAATCTGTTCAGACTTGAAAGGTATGTCAAGGAGGAATTGACTTTAAACCATCCAATTTTAGCATGCAGTTGGGCCCCAGCACTGTGAATCCCCCAAGCACACAGCAAAACATCAGAGGTCTCGAATTTCACCTCTCCAGGAGAATATATGTAATAACCAGAGACACACAACACTCAGTGATTTATTTGACACGGTACCTCCTATGACCTTGAAGATACAAAGGTGCATTTCCTCTCACAGCAGCCACATTGCTTGCAGTGCAATGCTGAGTACAGCATGCAGGGCTCTGATTTCTTAACTCCCATATTCTGTGAGTGTTTTAAGGCAGAATGTCCCTAAAACTGCCAGCCAAAAGCTCACAAAGCTCCCACATACTTATTAAAATAAAAAGGGAAGGGAAGGGAAGGGAAGGGAAATTGAAAGTTTAATATAGAATTATTACTGTATTGTAAAAGACCAGCTGTGAATCCAAGATCTGGGATCATCTTATTCAATAAAGACATATATAGAAATTCAAGGAGGTTTCATCCAGTCCCTCTTTTTACTTGGTTTTAAATTGTTTAGAATTTTAGTAATGGTCACTTAAGAAGCAAGGTAAAATATCCAGAAACTTCAGTAAAGTTCATTCTTTCTGAGGTTGTGAAGTGCTGCTTATCAACAGCAAATCCATCCCATTTAAAACAGAGGGAAACTATTAGTAAAAGGCTACTTCTTTACGAATCAAAATGAGACACCATTTCACAAGGACAGAAAAATCTGACTTCCAACACAAAGTGTGGAATATGACTGGGGAGCTATCCCAGCAAAAACCCACTGTTCTGAATCAGATTTCATTCATTCTTGTATTCATTCCTTTTTAACTCAGCAAACAGATATTTTCTGACCAGAAAAAATGCCTTGTTTGTCAAGGAGGTGGTCTGACAGCTATATTAGGGCAAGGAAAGTTAATTCTACTTTTCAAATTAGATGGGTGTGATATTAGGATAAATCATTTGATATATCAGCTCACACTCTAATGGGTGCATCCATGCTCTCCTTGCAAAACTCCATTTTTTTCCCTAAAAGTTGGATTTGAAATGATCATCACAGTTTTCAAGAATTGCCAGCTTTCATGTTATTAATCTAAACTTGTAACACTTGATGGTCTTTGGGAAATTTCAGTTCTGCAAGTTTCATATGCAAGTTTTCTTGAGGCATGATCTAAGAATTGTATCCTATTTCTTCAGATAAGTTTTGGACATGTTGAAGAAAAAAATCAACATAAATTATCACTGAGGGTAACTATGAAAACAAAAACCCCAGAAGGTAGCATGGATTTCACACCTACATTTATATTTTTTTTTCTTCTTGCTGAAGTCTGTTAGGTTTTCTGACCACAAATATTGGCAATTCCAGGGGGCAAGGGGAGGGGAGAGGTATTTAGCAGACTTTTAACAAAGGCCTCTGGGTACAATTTATTAGTAATAGAGACCACAGAGCATTTCGCTATATTTATGAAATCTAGACAAGGAAGTTTGAAAGTTTGAGGCAGATGTCATCCAGTCCTCCATGCTGTTTTTCTTATTCAGTGAGAACTTTCTTCACCCTGTGACTTCTTTTGACATAACTCCTTGTGTATTTACTCCTATCTGTGTCGAATCCAAGTGAATGGGATGCCAAGGGTAAGAAGGAGCAGCTATATATTTGTACTTGTCTCCATCTCACCAGACTCAGAGATGTCTTGAGATTTTATTAACAACTATCCCAACCAAGGTCCTAACAGCTTGAGACAGTCAGGCGTTTCTGCTTAAGGTTACATGAAAGTACTTCTTCAATATAATTCTGTATCTATTTTTGTCATGGAAATTCCAAAAGCATTTCTGTCACTGCACTACACTGACTCTGCCCATACAGTGCTGGTTTGAGTTTCCTGTGAGAAGATCAAATTCATAAATCTCAAACCCAGCAAATTGTTTTTTTCCTCCTGTGATTGTCTTTCTTGCCCGTGTGTATCTCCCATTTTCTTCTCCTGGACACTTGACTGACATTGTGATAAACACAGAACAGCATTTAAGTTGTGAAGGAATTAAATAATGAATACTTTCTCATTGTCATGGTGTCAGAAACATCACAATGAGTCTTAGAAGGTTGCATTGGGCAGATTAAGGAGAGTTTGGTGTAACCATTGTAATTTTCTATTGCTTCACACAGTGCCATAAAACACATATTACAAAGTATTTTAAAATACTTTGGGGTTGGGACAAGCACATGTGATTCTAACCACAATCTACAGAGCTGCTCTAGAAACTAGAGCTCTTTGTGCAGTTAGAGAGTTCATAGTTTTATAATACACTACTTAGATTCTTGGGATCAAAAGGTAGAGAAAAGTACAAGGATAAAATAGGAAGATTACTAACTAAATAAACAGGTAAAACAAGGACAAACAACAGTTCTTTTTCACTGCATTAAGCAGTTCAGTGTTTGTCCAGATGCTTTGAATTGATGTTCTTTATTGACTCCTGTCAAACTGTTATCAAAGCACTTTCCTGCTGTGACTATTTTCCTTTTCCCCAAGCTAAAATAGGGAAATGTGGTATCTGTACTCTGTTGATCTACACCAAGATCAGATTGGTGAGATCAGCTTCCAGGCACTAAAAGCAGCAGCAGTGAGGAAGCTGGGAGAAAGGTGCTATCCCTTTTAGCTTTGAAAATATGTATTCAGACCTAATGGGTTTTGGCACCAGAAGTTCTTGTATGAGCCTCTGAGAAATCTCCCAAAGGCCAGGATGGTCAAACTCCATGAAGAAATGGAAGAAAGTTACAGAAGAGGGGAGTAGTATTGCCATTGAATGGATCTTGGACCATGCTGTTCACCTTCAACAGGTTTTCAAAGTGGAAGGACAGAAGAAAAATAAAATAAATTTGTTCTATTACTTAGTAAAATTTGAATATATTATAAAATAACTTTTTCCTCACAGGTTTTTAAAATTGCTTTATTAAAGCATATTTCCTATCTGTTTTCTCTCACCTTGTGCCAGGAGTCCCTGCAAACTCCTTCATGTAGTCCACAGGTAGACACAAGGAAAAAAAGTATCTGTGGGCATGGGGGTCTCCTTTTATCAGTTTTGAGGCTATCCCCACTGCCAGGAACATGACTGTCTTATTTCATTAATGAAAAGATCAAGTATCACACCAGGGATAGAATTCTGACAGTGCAAATAACTGGAAGAAGAAAATTATGGCTCTGTAGAAAAGGGGGAAAAAAAAGAAAAAAATGAAAGGAGAAAAACACCAACCAAGCTTCTTCCACCATGCTCAGAGTATCTGATGGAAAAAACAGCAAAGGCTGTCTCAACAAGGCTAAGGGGTCCAGGTGTACTGAGCTGGGCTGGTGGCTGTTAAACAGGGAAGTTTATTATATGGCACTTTGCAGGAAAAGCACCAAGTAAAGGAATAACATGAAACAGAGAAGGTGACAGGAAATATGCTTCTGCAGTCTCACAAAAATCAATAGTCCAGCATTCACTAGAGAACCCTCTGCAAAGTGCTATTATGAGCAGTCACAGCTTTGGGGAGACACCCTCCACATCACCCACATCTGACCCCACAGCCTGCTGGTGGTGCAGCTGAGGTACCCCACAAACTGGCCTGAGAGGAGCACCGGGCTGCTCTGTGCCTGGGCTGGGAGGAGATGTGGCTCCATGGCTCCGGACACTGCAGCCAGAGCTGCTCCCTGAAATCCCCTCTGCTGAACAACAGAACTGAGAAACTCAGCAACCCCACCGCTTCTGAACTCGTCAGCACAGTTTATATAACGATGAGCCATCGGCTCTTTCGCTTCAAATGCTGCCTCAATTTACGTGGCATAGCAGCAATCTGGCTTTGATGGAGAGAAATGTGAAGGAATGTGTTCCCTGGGGAGTAATGCAATACACAGACAATGTAAGAAGGAGGCTGTGCTGCTAAATGATACACATTTCTATCCAGAACATTTTCATTAGTCTTGGAACAAAATTAAAGTTTCCACTCTCATTTGCTGAAGGTTAATCCAGATTTCCATGAGATATGTCCAGATACAGATGTAATCTCTTTAATTAAATGCTTTGCCCATTCATTTCTTCAACTTTTCTTTTTTTCTCCTGCATTGAAGATGCTACAGACATATGGAGAAGAATGAAAAAAAACAAAACAAAACACGTGCAATCAGAAAAACTTTAGACTAGGAGATAAAATTCATTTCAGTCACAAAGTCAATATAGGACAGTTTGTTTATACATTAAAAGGGAAATAACAATTATAATTAAAAATTACATGACTGTATTAAAACATTATTTTAAATTCCTATTTTTCAACTTTTTTCAATCATCTAATGAAGAATTATATTTTTTCTCTTAAAATACTATCCTTTAGGTCTTAAAATGTAAATAAATGGTTTGCTACAATCCCACTTCCTAGTGTAGCAGCCACCATTATGCAGCTTGCATTGTTATTGTCTGTAACTCAGGAAATCTGCTGTTGAGCACTTTTAAAATTTCTAATTGCATATCACTCTTTTTTTTTCTGAATTTGCTAATCTTTTTCCCATCATTCTTCTTTTGCACCTCATTGATGCCATGCTTATTCTCTTAAAGCAGTATGTCCCAGGCAACATCTCAACTGAATTATCACTGGTAAAAACAGGTGTTTAAAAGCCACCTATCACCTGCATAATTTTGTCCCGTTCCTTAAATGCCTGTTAAGATTCCTGGGGCTCCAATATAGCTGACCATTTTTTCTCAGACTTCCTGATTCAGAGACTGAAATATTTAGGTCTTCAATAACTTTCTTAAACCCTCTTTATTTTCATCAGACATCCTATGTCTCATGACATACATTCCACTTCGCTGACTTCATCTAATGGCATTTCCAATTTTTGGAATATTATTCTTTGCCTCACAACCTTTTCAGTGTTTTCATTAGCCATTCTGGATTTGGTGTTCTTCTTTCGTGATATAATACTTAATATGACAGCAGCATTTATCTCTCTCCAATCAAACAGAGCTCAGGAATAAACTAGCCAGGTCACTCCAGAATTTAGCACCTCTGCTGGTAAGTGTAGATCAGCATAAGAGAGAAAATGTTTCAAGGGAAGGTTGACTAACTCTAAAAAAGAATAGATTCATGACCTTTGACAAATCACCAGTTTGCATGCTATTTCCTCAAAATCCAGCAAGTAATCTGAAAAAAACACAACTAGTGACTTTTGAATTTATTGTCTCAAACCCAGAAAATATGTAGAGAATGAAACTCATCAGTATTATAGTTCCTTCAGCAATGTGGGATTGGTGCTTATGCTTAGGTTTTGTAAGCCACAAGCTCATGTTCTATCTGTTGTTGCATAAGTGAGACGTTGGCTGACCTAAGCATAGGGGTTATCAGACAACCAGACCACCGAGTGTCTGTGACTGACTTTTTGCCCCCTGAAATCAATGGTACCTTTGCCATTAACTGCAGGAGACAGAGAATCAGCTCCTGATTCTGACAGAGAAAGTGATGATTTACTTGGAAGTTAAATGCCAGGTACAATGAGAATAACTCTGCTGTCCACAGTTGTTTCTTGTCATCTACAAACTGGGTGTGGAGGGTAAGCAGGGAAGATCAAGTGGGCTCTATTCCTTACCAAACTCTCATGCCCTGTTCTACAGCAAACAGAAGGGCTTCTTGATACTGCTAAAAGGACACTTGGGTATTTCCAGCTTGTTTATTTCCCACATATTCTCCGTTTTCTCTCCACTCCTGTATTGATAGCATCCAAAGGAAGGAATATAAGATAGCTAATGAACTAGTGAAAATCTTCTGCATCACAAATATCCCAAAATCCCAACTGGTCTCCATTTCTTCTCCACACACATCTCATTCTCTAGTTTCTGCATCCATGAGCTAAATATATGAGCTTTGTGTCATGAATCAGAACACAAACTGGATCTAACACCTTAAACACCATGTTTGATTATCACACTGTAGAGGAATAGTCTTAAACTCTCTTCCTTTGTACATGTCTTTTATTCTTCAGTGTTTCACTTTAAAAATGGCTGATCTAAAGACTTCATCCAGAATTTTCACATTATATGTACATAATGTCTAGGTGGATTTATTCTTTAAAATAAAAAATAGAGAAAATCTTAGAGAAGGATCCTTTATTCCTTTTACCCACTGGGAACAAAAAATGGCCTCAGCATTCTTGCATTGCAGACAAAAATGTGGACAAAATGTGCTTATTGTGAAACTTTCCATCAATTTTAAATAAATGTCAGGTTGTATTATTACCAACAATTTATGTTCCTATTACTTCACAACTTCCTTGTGTTAACTTGACAGACTACATTAAAAAAGCCAACTTATTTGTCAGCATCAACAGTTTGCCTTATCTGTTCTTTTTCCCATCTGGATTTCTTCTCTTTTTGGAAACTGATCAACTTCTGACTCAGAAGTTTCCCCAGATTTTCAGATAATGGACCTTAGGGTTTGATCAGGACTGAAAGCAGAAGCAGGTGGGAAGAATCCTCAACTTTGTTTACAAGGACATATTTCCAGAAACCTCGCTTGAACTTGGTGGAAACATAGCTTTCATTTTCCTTCCATAAATGACAGATCAAGTGTGGTTGCCATAAAATACTCTGCTTCAAACATTTGACTGTGTGCTCTAGTAGCCACTTAGAGGCCTGTTAAGGTTATGACAGTAAAGTGAGTTTGTGCGACAGTTTTTGCCTTTGAAGCTACATCACAAACCCAAGGAGCTGGAACCAAAAGGTCATCCTCAAACAGCCATGTAAAGGGCTGGAGATGGTCTCCCTGCTTGACAGAAGTCTCATAATCAAAAAAAAAATAAATAAAAAAAATAGCAAGAATAGCTGATATGAAAATAACAGTAATTTAGATATAAGTGCACCACTCAAAATTCAGCATAAGCAGATTTTCCATAGCCTTTGGTCTAAGAGCAGGAAAGAAGAAAATGTAAGAGTTTGTATCACTTTAAAAAGAAAGTTATAACAGTCCTAAATAGGTGTTTTTTCTTTACTGCTTCCACCAGAAACACATATTAGAGAATAATTTTCATTGACTTCAATATGGTAAACAAGCTTTAAAAGTTTAAAGTAATGGATGATTAAAACTAACTGGAAAGGTGACTGTGGCTGAGTCAGAAGAAAAATGTGCATTGTACTTAGAAAGATTTAGGAAAATGTAAAAAAAAAAAGTTCAATCACTGCAATATCAGCATAAATGATTATTTAAAATAGTCTGAAGTATTTTCTTGTATTGGTATATTTTTATATGCTATGTCTTCCCACCAAAATATTTCTCTCAGGACTATTTACAGAAAATATTTCTCTCAGGACTATTTACAGAATATCAGATAAAAACATCATAAAAATAACTGAAATATGTTCCAAACAGTGGTAGAGATGCCAAAGCAGAACAGAATTCTTCCAACACACTTATATTATGATTACTTAAATATCACTGGCTAGTCAGTAGTGTTGAGACATTCCTGTGTGGGTCAGTGGGATTATTGTTGAACTAAGCATCATAAAGAACCCAAAAAAGTGTTTTGAACAACAAAAACTAACTGAAAACATCAGCAGACACAAATTAGAGAAAACAAAACTAAAAAAATCCCCACCTTTAGAATGTTGCATATATCTTTTATTCCTAGCCAGAATAAAAGCCTGTACCCTTGCAGATGAAAATATTTGGCTTTATAGGTGTTTTCCATTTGCCCAAAGAACTGCCAGAGGAATGGGTAATGAGGGCTAATGATGGCTAATTTATCACTTCATTAGACCAACTGGCATCAAAGAATCCTTTTGTGGTTTTCTGAGACGTGAAAAAGAGGTAACTGTGAAAACTAACTCCTAACTTTCCACTATTTTTACAGTTGCTTTTTCTTGTTTTCATTTCTCAAATATGTGCAACTATGTAGGTGATGAAAATAAAATAACTTTGGTACTTTTGCAATCAGAAAAAAAAATAAAAATCTGTATTTTCCTGTTTTCAAAGTACTTGAAAAGGTAGAGGAAAATACTTTATATTTTTGTTGCTGCTGTTGTTGTCACTATTATGGTTTGCCAGACAGTGAGGTAGGCCTGCATCATTTTCATGAAATGAGACCTCAGGGCTAGCAGAAGGACTTTTAAACTCAAAATATAGAGGTTTTTCCAACACAAAAATGAACTTTTCCTTTAAAAAATCAGAAGAGAGAACACAGAAATAAAAGAACATAAATCATTTCTCTTTATCCATCCACTCTTTCATGGCAAGCATTTTGCTCCAGACTCAGTATCAGCAACTAGGGAACCACCAGTGCTACATTAAATTTTGCAGTCTTTTTGAGTCCTTAGTAAAGTCTAATGAAAAGCCTAAGGATGTCCTGACCCTTCTTTGTGTGCCTGCTTTCATAGATGTTGTAATTTAATAACTTTTGTCTGACATTTTTTCTGTCCTTATATATAGTTTTTTACTAATTTCTGTGTGATCTTTCTGTTTTGTCATTGCCTTTTAATTCAATTCATAAAATACACAAGAAAGAAACACTGAAATAGTTGCACAGCAGCCTACAGTCCCTTTTTAGGGGACACTTTGCACACTAATAATCTAGTCCCCTGTGCAAATAAACTCTGTACTAAGATGGTTATCCAGCCATAGCCTATCTGGTAGGAGAAAGTAGATGGAAGGGCGGAGATTCTAAAAAATTAAATTAATACTTCTCAGTCCATAAGTGCCTATTATGCTTAAGCAAAATAATTCTACAGAGGCATACATCTTTTGTAAAGAATGCTGAAAGCTGGAACAGCATTCTTTCTGCAGAAGAAATGAAATTATCTTGGCCATTATTTTCTTTTTTTTTTTTTTTTTACATGCATTGGTAAAAAGAAGGGTACTGAGCACCAAATAGGAGCTGGGATAGGCTGTGCAGAAGTGTCTCTTCACCTCAGCAGGAAAAATGACCACAACTCTTCAGGGAACATTGTCTGAAAGACTTCTCCACCTTTCACTTGTTGTTTAATAGCATCCTCCCCTAAGGAATGACAATGAATGGAAGAAATTTATGAATTTACAAGTTTGTCTTGGAATAAGGCAAAATAAGATTACTTCTTTTGGAAATATAAACTGCAAGCAATGTAAGACTGCTCTCTATATATGCTGTGATATCTAATGCATATTCTGTTTGGGTGAAAGACTTGCCCAGAATTCTGTCTGAAGACCACGAAAGTCCTGAACTGCTCTTTTTTTTGAAATTTACATTTAAAATGTACCTTTTATAACGAAGCAAAATTATTTGATTGCACCTTGAACAATGGAAGCACTACTGTTACCTCCTTTATCCACGGGAAAAATATCAAGGAGCCTATAAAGCTTTATATAAACACTGTGCTATTTTATCTTGTCTATGCTTGAACCTACTCAATAGTCAGGTACTTTCTCTCCACATTACCCTTTGGAGATTAATAATTTGTACCCACAGACTCCAAGTACAATTTATCCTAACATTTCTCATTGTTTGTCTTTTTTAACCTTGCATCAGCCTTCTCACCAGTAACATATGCACCATCTCTGACTATTTGGAAACCAAAAGAGTATTTTTAATAAGTACAGATAAAAACCTCACAGGAGACCAGTGCCTCTCACCACTCCTGCTCGCCTCATGGGTACATTCACTCCCTGTGCACGTTATGGCTTGGTTTATTAGCCTGTAGATATGGGATTGAAGCAGTTTTCTCTCTTTTTGGCATGGATTCACTTTATATCAGCAACAAGACATTAATTGCTTTAGACAACTAGAGACCAAGTCTGGATGGTGGGGTTGGGTGTAATTGGGTGTATAAAGCCATAGTTCAAGACCTTACTCTGTCTGATTGGACAAGCCTGTTTTACCACATACCTGCCAAACACTATAATGACCTCCACTCCACAACCACAAGCAATTCTAGGATAAATCTCTCTCTCTCCCACTGTTTCTCTGTTTCACATTACTTTTATTAGAAATACCATCCAACTAAAAAGCACGAAAATATTTTTTTTCAAATGCAAATCCACATTGAATAAGATTTTTACCAATGAAAAGATAATAGGATTAGTATTGCTTCTAATAATAATAAAAATAATAACAACAATAACAATAACAATAGCAATAACAATAGCAATAACAATAGCAATAACAAAAACACGTTTAAAAATCCCAAATAAAAAAAGCAAGCACTGTCAGGATAGAAGCTTTTCAATTGCCATTAATGGTAAGAAAGTGAAGGCTTATTTTTAACTGAAGCTTTTACTGAAGCAAGAAATTATTTTTATTTTCTACCAAGATGGGAGTGTCTGGAATGTTGCTTTTTATTTTTAAAATAAGTCATCATTTTCACCATCAGCACTCAGATAGGAGCCACACTAATTGTAATGCTAGTGGTTGAAAAGTCTGAGCATTTTTGTGGCTTGTTGAATAAATATCAGTAATTCAATTTTGGTGTTCTCAAATTTGTGGAATGCGATATTTGGAAGAGTATAAGAATGGAAAATCATTCCACTCCAAGAAACAAATGCTTTCAATCTTATACCACTGAATGGAAGAAGAGCTTTTTGGTGTGCTTTGTTTTTTCACATAGGAGGACAAGAACAATGGAAGAATGTGCAATACTTAACAGTAGATAAAAGTGTACTCACCTATCAAAATATTTTTTATCTTTTACATATGCTAATCATATCTAGCTCATCAACACTCTCTGTTGCTGTCTGTGGTGGTGTTTAGCACTAGCCAAACTGCCACACTGTCCAAGGACAGCATCCAGTCCTGATACTGTAAAATGTTTTCTGAGAGTGACTCAAGTTAAACAAGCCTACAAAGTTTCTAATTTGATTTTAGTTTTTGTCAGGCAAGGGACAAGGTGGTTTCCAGCCTGACAGTCTTACATATCTGTCTCTGCTCAGTGTCTCCAGTTCATACTGCAAAAATCCAGTGTCAGGAACTAATCCAATACTACAGTATTTATTTTCTGTGTGAACTCTCCATAGACAAACAAAAGATCTTTTCAAAAATAAAATAAAATAAAATACAATTTAAAAAAATTAAAAAGAAAGGCAATATTCAGCCAGAACTCAGTACACAGTTTATGCTGTGGACTCTTCTTTATTTTCTGTTACTAGGTTTGTGTCACATGGAATTATCTCTGCTGCTCTACCTATTGCCAAATGGGACACATTCACAAGGAAGCCACATTTGAAGTAAACAACATCTGGGATCACCGCATACAGTAACTGTTCTGGTCACAGGCAGAGTTTCTTCCTTTGGATGATGGCTGTCAGGTAAGTGCCAAGAATGCTTGTAGCTGGAAAACTGTTATATTGCCAAAAAATAGGGCAACTAACACTCTCTTTGGTACTGCTTGAAGGATCCAGGACTCTTGAGACCCTATAAACACTGAAAACTACTATTTCTGGAATACTGTCCATAGCATTTGTATCTTTAATTACATGTCACTGTTAGAAGTGTTATTTATGAGGTTTTAGTTTGGCCAAAACTGAATAAAACTGATGGTCCAAAGGAAAATAAAAAAAGACTAGATGGATCTGCTATAGTACCTGGGTCTGCTAGAAGAACCTAGAGCACTGCCTGCAGTTCTGGTGTCCACAAGGTAAGAATGACGTGGAACTCTTGGAGGAAGTCCAGAGGAGGGCCACAAAGGTGATCAGAGGGCTGCAGCACCTCCCCTGTGATGACAGACCAAGGAAGTCAGGGCTGGAGGAGAGAAGGTTGAGTGGAGACCTCATGGCAACCTTCCAGAGTCTGAAGGGGGCCCACAGGGAAGCCTGAGAGGGCTCTCATCAGGAACTGCAGTGATGGGACAAGGAGTAATGGGTACAAACTGAAGGAGGGGAAATTGAGGCTTCATAACTGGAAAAAAAATGATCTCCATGGTCCGTTCCAGCCCCTAAACATTCTATGTTTCAATGGTCATTGAGTTTGTTCCCTTGGTGCCACTGTTTCCTCTCCAGGCAGCCACATCTGTGTCTCTTGCTACATCTAAAGAGCAATCAGGCTTTGCAGCCACTCCTGAACCTTCAGAGCATTCATCCTTACACTGTTCACATGGCATATTTTCATGTCCTGTTTTTGCAACTATTTTCTGGTGCCAAGAAACAGAAGTGCTGAAGCAAGGGAAGAAGCAGAAGAAAGTTAAGAGGAGCCAGACTTGCACATGAACACAAAAAAGCAAATAAAAAAAGAAATGGGGAAAGGACAGAGTGGGAAAAGGAAACAAAGAGCAGAAGCTATCAGGGAGACCATACATTCAACCAAAAGTGGCAGGAAAGATAATAATAGCAATTAAATGTTCAGTGGGGTTTTCACCACAGTTCTCCTGTGCAACGTTCACTGCACAAGGTTCAGATCTGTTTGGAGCCTAGAGATGGCAGGAGAGACCCAGGTGAGTTACACCTACCCTCCCAGGCACCAGGCCTCAGTGACATGGCACAGGTGCCCTCTCCTGACCCATGGCAGGGCACTAGACCTGTCCCAGGAGTCACACATTCTCCTGTCTGGCCACAAGCAAGCAGCGAGCACCCTCTCTCCCCTCCCTGTCCCCATAGGAAGATCAAGGGTGCAATACTGCTAAGAGCAGATTAGAGAGCTTTAAAAATGCATCTAACACCATTTCTTTCATCCTTAGATACTACTGTGCTGTGTAAATATCAAGCTGTGAAGACTTAGATAAAAGTCTTGAACTGCCATTTTTATTTTTCTTCAAAAAAATATATAAATTCTATGCAGAGGAAGGGTCCCCTACACAGCAACCCAAGTCAATGGCTTTCTATTTCAGTACAAGAACTGACAATAAAATAAGTATTTACCTATTATACAGTCCAGCTAGAAGCTACTGGCAAATAAGAAGTTAAACTAACTCAGAAAGCAATAAGATCAGTTATTAAAAAAACCAAACATTCAGATGGTGTGTTGATTTGTACATTGAAATAATTCCAAATAAAATGAAATAAAAGCCTGGCTTTGAGTGTGGTGGAGCTGAAAGGGTTTTGGAAGGATTTTTCTGTAGGAAACATAGAGAAGCAACCTAGCTAGATGCATGGCTGATGTAATTATGATCTTATGCAGAATTTCTATGTAAAACTTCCCACCCAGGTTCTTACAGAAAGAATATTAACCTGGCAGAAGATAAATCTGGCAGCTGGTCAATCACCAATAGGAAGATGTGTGAGCAGAGAAAATTATGGGTGGAGAAAGACAAGTCAGGGAGAAGTCAGGGGTAGGGAGGATTGTGTAGTGTATGGTTGTTAAACAAACTGAATTCCAGAATTGAGGGGATGACAGCATGGATGGATGCTATATGGGACTAATTTATTGATTACTGGGGAAAAGACCAGAGGAGGAAAAAAAATAAGACATCTTTTTAAATACATCTCAAAACCGTTTCTGGAATTACAATATGTTTTTGTTTAATTGCTGCCTTCCTTCTCAGTTCTGTAATTCGTTCTCCTTCCTTAACTTTAAAATAGATAAGGACAATCAGTGTTCTCAAAGTGTGACCAAGATTTTAAGATATAACCTAGGAGTGGGTCTGGTATGTACCTAAACACATTTACTGAATTAATCTTGATGAAAAGATTATATTACAGGGGCATAGGGAGGGAGAAAGGGAAGAACATCTATTCATACATAGAAATTGTGACAGGGAATCATCTCTTTCCAAAGACAATTTTCAAAATCAGCACACACATTCAAATTACAGCCATTAACACATATATTCATTAAAAAAAAAGGTATCCTTGAGATGGCCAGCCCCTCAGCCCGTCAGACAACAAACAAAATGTGCAGAATTTTATGCACAGGTTGCACAAAATTACATGTTCCCTTTCACTTGAGAAGCTTCTCTGTTTGTCTCAGGCAGCTGCCCTGGGCACATGGGCTGTGCATGGCCTTGCAGCACTGTGAAAGCAACACGGGAGGATGTGTGGAGGCACACAGCCTGTGCCTCCCTCTGTGGCTGGTTTCACAGAGCCAGTCTGGTAGAA